CAGTCCGTTTCTGCCTTTGCCGTTCCCCGCCGAAGCGTTGGCCAGCAGCGACCCCCCAGCAGGCGGAGGTTGGGTTTCCCCCAACCCCCCCCCCGCCCCCCCAACATTTCGGTGTCCTCCCGGCTGAATGATGATTGCATCTGCCAAGCAACCTCTGCTTCTCCACGCCGCGGTTACCGAGCAGGCCTCAAGCGGCATCTCTTTGAGTACCACCCTGCAGTTCTCCATGGTCGGGGTTGCCCCAATCTATGCCAGGAGCAGAAAAAGCAGGGTAGGTACGGACTTTTATCTTCTTCTGACGGCTGTTGCCCACAACTATTTTGTTCAACGTACGACGGCATGTAGCATGATGAACACGACACAGCACATAGATATAACGAATTAACCTACAAACATATGCTGTCCCCAGTGGCGTTCGCCAAAAGCTCAAGCCAAAAAAGATGCCCTGCCTGGTGAGGTACTCTGTAGATAGATGTAGGCAGCATCGGTGTCGTGGCGTATGTTAGACTATACTTCTAGTCTACATAGTACACAGGTAGAGAATAACATTCTTGCGATAGATAGTCTAGTGGATCGCATGTACTATGAGTTTTCAGCGGAATACATAGCTGAAATTCAAGGTTCTCGTCCGGCACGTACATGACGTTTGGCCTACTCTGTAATTCATCAAACATGAACTATGTGTTAAATAATTCTGTGGGTGTCGGGTCTGTTGGGCTCCATGGGCGTGGGATCATGCACATACATATGCTCCGTCAAGGAGCAGTGCAAAAGGTTTGGGTCCCCCCACCCACCTCGCAAAGGTACCGCATGGCGAACTCGAGGGCGATGTGCTTCTGGAAGTTGGCTGGGAATGCCACGGGCTTGGAAGTGTCTGTAAGGGGTATGGAGAACGACGGAGGTTGAGTCGCGGCAACAGCAGCGCTGCCGCCCGCAGCTCCAGGCTTGTACCTCGCTCTTCGGGCTGACATAGTTAGGGCACGCTTGTCATCCCTTTCGGGCAAAGAGGATGGACTATAAGTTCACAGGTAGTAGCGCTAGTAGCGCTGTGTGTTGCTGCCTCCTCTGCACGTGGGAGAGTCCCACCCCTGGCCAGAAATTCAGGCATATTTATTGCGTCCATCGCACACTTCGCACACGCCGCGGGCTCTTCGATACATGGCATACATATGAAACCGTCGGTGTCATGCGTGCTTTCGTCGATGACAACGTCTTGGTTGACCCCCGCCCATTTTGCACGCAATCCTGCTAAATACATACCACCGTCAACCGTTGTCACAAAGATCAGGCGCACGCTAAGGAAAGCATCGGCGGGGGGACAGCAAGCATGGCCTACAATCCGACTGGTGAGCCCGAGAGAGAGAGAGAGAGAGAGAGAGAGAGAGAGAGAGAGAGAGAGAGAGAGAGAGAGAGAGAGAGATTGACACGATACATTTCCTGCTTCGCTTACACAGAGATTCAGTTCACCTGAGTTTGGATTTATTGAGGGCAACCCCCAAAAGACAGCGTACCCGCCTCAGATTGACGAGATCTCTGTTTTTTTCGGGTTGCGGGTTATTAAGGAATAATAAAACACACACAGAAAGACTACCCATTCGAGATATACCCACAGCAGTCGGGTTGTTGTACCCCGAGAGCCCGAGAGCGATGAGTGTGCCGACATGTTCCCCCGACCTGCCGGCACAACACACCCGCGGAGAGAGAGAGAGAGGTTGACAACACGCAGCACTAGCATCTCGCGGTAGCAGCAATAGCAGCAGCAGCAGCAGCAGCAGCAGCAGCAGCAGCAGCAGCAGCAAGCTTGTCACCATGGCAACCAATGACAAGAACGGTGAGAGGGCTTGCGATAGGGAGTAGAGTTCTCGGGAATGATCGTGCCTCTCCCATCCAACATGCCGACCAGTCAGACGGGTCCTGAGACCTGAGATTGCCATGCCTGGTTCAACTCTTGTGCTCTCGATCAGATGTGGAAAGGTTGAGATTTTCCCCGTGCCACCTCGAGAGCTTCCGTCCCCGCCCTGCGCCCACCGCTCTTTGGTGTGCTGCAACTGCCTCGCCAACACACCTATACGCGTACAGCACCAGCCGAACCTAAATTCGCGTTTCGCAACTGAAGAGTTGGGTTCCGCCCACCCTTCCCTGCACAATCACACACATCATCGGAGACTTTATGTAGCGTTCACCGCCGCGTAAGTAAAAGTTGTTGCGTCCCCCCGACAGCATTTACTCTATTGCTGCTTGTTTCGGTGTGCGGTGTCATATTACAGTAGTAGCTCCCTCCCCGGGCGTCGAAACAAGTATGCATTATGCAGAGGGGAAGTTGAAGAGAAGAATTCCGTGTTCGGCAGCGGCGAGATGAAAAAGGCTTCCGCTACCAGCAGTACAACGACTGTCGCCAGATGTATGCATACATGTGCCACAGGGTGGCAGGTTGCTCTTGTGGGAAAGGGGGTACAGGTACAGATAGCTGAGAGAGGAGAAAGGGGGGGGGGGGGAGATCGAACTCTCGCGCTCTTACTATAAAACCACACCCGCTCTCGCTCTCGAGCAACTCATCTACAACGTCTAAAAGGCCTAGTCTATTGTACAAGCACAAGCTTGCTATGAATTTCAGGAATAATAAAAACACACACAGAAAGACTACACATTCGAGATATACCCACAGTCGAACGGGATGTGGTGGAGTCTTTTCAGTGAGTGGAGGGAAACCGGCTGGGTACTGGACTTATTTCGAGTCTTTTTAAGTCTATACACTGATGATTACTTCGACTCTTTTCTATGATAGAGTCGTTGTGTTCTAATAAGAAAAAAAAAAAAAAACGCACAATTTTTAGGGGTGCGATGGTCGAAGGGGTCTCTTTGGCCCACAGCACAAGAACACCCGACTCCGAAACCATTTGGCTCTGCACACCCCCGTAGGCCTGACTGCTGTCCCATAGACGACAACGACGACAGCAGCAAAAGGGGTGATATGCAAACCGCAGGAGAGGACGCCTCCGGCGGAATAGATTTTTTTTTTTTTTGTCTTTCACTTCAAATCGGCGCTCACAGCGCTTGTGTTGTGCCGTTTACTCCAACCCTCGGACACACAGAAGAGCCCCTCTCTACCCACCCATCTTGCGTTACTTTGCCTTCGATTTTTAATGAATTCCGCACTCTCTTCCCTCTGTGTGTACACACGAACTAGCGCTATCCACTAGGCCAGGAGCGGAAGCGAGAGAAAAACTCACTTTGCAAGAAAAATGCTCGATTGCGCCGGGATTCGAGGATACCAACTAGACCACCGAAGTTTTTCAAATTATGATCAAAAATGGCTGGGCGAATAGAATGTCATGCGCCGGGATTCGAGGATACCAACTAGACCACCGGGGCGAATAGAATGTAATCCATCGGTCTCATCCCAGATTGGCTTTTGAAAAGTTTTTGGCTTTTGCTTGGAAGTGGTGAATGAAGTGGTCAGCGTCGGCATGGATTTTGCTGAACGCGTCTCGCGCTAATAAGAACCCGAAGGGCCAAAATGAACAATGAACACTCCCATTTCGCAAATGGAAGTACAGCAGTAGACCAATGTATTCTGTGCGTGGCTATTTCACTATTTCCTGCTACATGGTATAGTCTAAAATGTAGCATGCGCATGGTATTCCGCAGTTAATTCCCTGGTACATGCGGAGGTGGAGCCCACGAGGCCTACATACATACAGATCGAACGTACCGTAGGTGACGTACCACACCCCCCTGTGGACCAATTTTCATAGCTCCATTACTCCACGACGAAGAGGATGTATATCATACATCAAACCATTACGTTTTTCGGAAAGCTCTCGACGAGAGGGTTTCCAACGCCGCCGTGTTCTGCACCGCCGCTCTCCGCTGCCGTGGAGTAATCGAGCCTTGGAAACCGGTCCACGGGGTGTGATATCTTATCTTTCTTGTCACCTACTGCGGTAGACACCCGCGGCAGGCGGGGGGGCGCTTGAACTTTGAGGACGCCCATCAGCCCCTCATTTCGTTTTTATGACCTTGCCACAGCAAGCAGTAGTGACACCTAAAGCATACGCACTGCTGTAGTTGCATACATACTCCTTATCTCGCCAGACGCGTGGCATCAGAGAATTGCTGCCTGCCGATACAGCAGTATCCTTTTGGAGGAATTTGGCGGAATGAAGGAACTGCTGTAGTCTGTACTTGTAGCGGGACTGAGGACTTCAGGCTACGCAACAATGGTGCTTTTCGTGCTCCAGCGATTTTTGGGGAGGGGTGTGCAAGCCCCCCCCCCCCCCCCCCCCACCCCCCCCCAAACCCCCCTTTCTTTTAAACCCCGGGGAAGAAAAAAACCCTCCCCACCCCTTTTTTGTTCCCGGGGTTGGCTGCCTAACTGGGCTTTACTTTCCCGGTTTAAAAAAACCTACCCCAGGTTAAATAAGGTACAAAACCACCCCCCCCGGGCCCATTTTTAAAACCCCATTTCTCCCCCATTAAAAAGAAGCCCAAATTTAAATACCCAAATAACTTTGCCGAAAAAACTCGGGGGGAAGGGTCCAAAGCCCCCCCCCCTTTTTCCCCACCCCCCCCGTTTTTGTGCCGAAAAAATTAAAACTTTCAAAAA